TTTGGCCCCTTTTACACTGTGATGATGAAGCATAAAAACATACCATTCTAGGCACTGGGGAGGTTTTCACAAATCTCAAGGGATTTAAAATCCACAGTGGAAAGAGCAAAAACCTACTCTCAACAGTTTTACTGACGTCTCATTTGTAACAGTGGTCTATGTGGTGCAGAGAACATTTTAGTTGTAAACGCTGGAAGTGACCGCTTAGAAAACCCGCCGTCAGAGCTGCATGGTGGCACCACATCAGCTCTCTTCATACTGCCATGACTTAAGCCATCTATTACAAATTTTGCAGTTAATTTATTTCCAGTGGAAAAAATAAGAAAACTTGCCTTCACTTTTTTGACCATTAATCCTTTCCGACTTCTAAGTCCCTGGAATGGGACCAAGTCACATTTGGTGTTAAAATGCAACCTGCCAACAATTTGTGAAGTGTTTTTCTAGTCTCACTGTGACCTTTTAGCAGTTTTTTGAAAAGTTAAAAAAAGAAAAAAAAAAAAACGTATCACCAATTGTGCAGCGTAGAGTAGTTTGGGAAGAGTGAGCCAGTGTGCTCAAGCTGCAGCGAGCAGTGGATTGGTGGGAAGCAAAAGACTTCACAGATCTGCACATTCTAAAGGAAGCATCAGTTTAAGGAAAATTAACTGTGGTATACATGATAAACCAAGTCACACACTCTCATGTATTTATTCAGTATCGATCATCATGCTGTATTTTAATCAGAATATGATGGGTTTCCTGTTTACGTCCAGAGTATTGATCAGTTATATAATTAACATGCAATCAATCAAACTGTATCATATCCATCACATCAGGAGGGCAACCCCAGCCCCATATATCAGTTTAACTGCAGTTTATCAATGCTGTCAAACAAGACGTTATTTTCAGTTACAGTACACTGCTTTAGAAAAAACCCTCAGCCTTTGTTTCTGAACTAGATCTCAGAAGATTTGGATTTCAGTGTCCGTCTGCGTTACCAGGCTGCAGAATATGATCAAAGGCGCTTTGGATCTCTGAGAAAAGGCCCTTAAAGTTGACATGGAGGAATCACTCACAGTTAGCATTTAACAACTTTCAAGAAATGGCATCTGCGGATCAAACGAAGGCAGCGCCATCCAACAGGTGCAATTTAGGTGAGAATGATGTGGGGCCGTGTGATCGATACATAGCTATTCTCTCACTCATAACGAGAGCAGACAGTTAATTATGGCGTCTAAAAGCCCAAACAAAGAAGATCAGGAGCTGAGTAAATTACAATGAAACCTGCATCTTTTGAAGAAAACCGCCTTGAATCTCAAGTGCATGTAAGGCACAAAAAGGGACTAGAACGTGTGACTAAAAAAGTTCTTCTTTTCATCTTCTTTTTTCTCTTTTCTCTCCACAGTCACACAAAAAAAAAAATCAAAAAGTTCTAAGCACTCCCACAAAAGAATTTTGGAACATCCTGTCTTGGATCTTAAGTAAATGTAAAGTATAAAAAGCATTGAGAAAGTAAGTGAAAATAGGGTTATAAAGAGGTGACAGGAGAGAGCCATTAAAGAAAAAACACTCATATTGAGTCTGTGTAAGACATCAGCATAACAGGGTAGTTAGCATTTGTAAGTATAGGCTTCAGTGCTTCTTTGGTATGACATGAATTTAAATGCTAATTAAAGAAAAACAACTTTTATGCATTTAGTGTGTTTGTGAAATGGTCCTTATTTAAGTTGAATAATGCATCATTTTCACTTCTGCTGGCATTAATTCCTAACATATTTTGTGCTGTGAGTTAAGGTGTGAACGTGTTCTTGTTCTTTTGAAGAAAATCCTCCAAATAAGACGAATGAATGAGACACATCTGACACAAACAAGTTATGCAGTGTCATTCTATCAAATCATGACCTACTTATTACACCTGTTTGATTAATTAAATCAGCATCAAAGTTTTGGTCCACATCCTAAATTAAAGTGTTTTGTTCTCTAACCATCCAATAAATGTCAGACTTAACAGTGAAATAGTGACAGATTATGGAAAAATATTTTATCCAGTGAAGTACCAGATGAGATCTTAATTCTTGTAAATTTTCTTGTGCTAAATGTAATACATACAATAACTGCATGCACCATATGCAGTAGACATACACATTTTATTTGAGCAACATAAAGCTGTACGTACCACCCCATACCATCTCCATCACTGTAGCATCATAAACAACACTCTGGCTGACAGAAAATCAATTATTATTCTTGATGATACACAAACCTGTTCAAGATGCTGGTGGGACTATCTAAACATGCATAGGGCGCTTTAAAGTTTCTGCCATCAATATTTTCAACAACATGTTGTAATTTAACATGTGTGCCCATAGTCTCAAACTCACCCAGCGCAGCTTTACACTCCAGAAGAAGTTCAGCCTCATTGATCCCACGTTTTACTGAATGCTTTTAGCATATTTCAGCTCATTCTTTTGGTTCTACAGCCTGCAGCTTTGTTTTGGTTTTACTCTCAGTGCTCTCATTGACTAGTTTCAAGCAGCGGGTATATGTTGATTAAAAAAGAAAGTCTAAATAAAGGCACCAAATGGTAAACACAGCTTAGCACCCACAGCGTCTAAATATTTCAGTTTATTTAGCAGCTAGAGATCCTGATAGGTTTGTAGGCAGTTGGTGGACACAAAACTAAAAGGTGAAAAACTAATTGACTTACATATTGCAAGTTCCTCTAAGCTGATGTTAAAGTTGCTCTAATATTTGGTGTTGTGTTTCCAGCTACCTGCAGGGTGTACTACGAAGCAAGTTTGCAGATATAACACATTCCATCAGCTGAGAATCTCTCATAGGGAAACGATTTGATGAAAGGGAGATGGTTCTTTCAGCTGATTTAAATCCAAAACTCTGAACATAACCTGCTCCTGACCAGGTTAGTTCCACAGCATCAGTTACCATGGAGATCTAGCCAGGGAAAAAGAGAGCCACCTTCGTGACACTGAAAAGTCTGGCTTTTGGCTCAACATACCTCGATAACTCACTAATCTTGCTTTGAAGTACAGCCCTCTGGTGAAGTTATGCACCCAGAAACCTCTTTAGAGAACATTTCCCAACCGCCATTTCGGAAAACATTCCAGACGATTCCAGAGCGTTTACTGTCAGGATCTTCTGAAGGTTTCACAAACTAATCTTCAGGCAGTGTTACCTGAAGGTTTGTGGGACGTTCTTTTCAGTCAAAGACTAATGAGAACTGTGCGGCTGAACCCAAACATTAAAGCTGACAGCTGTAGAACCAACAGACAGAGTTGAAGATGCTAAAAAGCTCTGTGGAGCCGAGGGGCGTCGAGTGACAATTTACTGATTTATGGGTTTATCACTACAAATGATTAACATACAGTCATTTTTCTCTAACAACTTTAATGCACAATTTTAAGGATCATTTTAGAAAACGTTAAGAATAAAATTGCAAAAAGGTATAAACACTAACTTTGGGTGGTTTAAGAGTTTTTTTTCTACAAGAGTTAAAGAGCGTCATGGGAGATGGAAAACCCTTTTTCAATTATGTTCTGACATAGTGATAGTGAACATTTATCTCACATGACTGATCAGCTGTTTGTGCTCGTTTTGTTGTCTTCACCTCCAGACTGAAGACTTCTCTCATTTATCTCTCGTAGATGCCAACGTTTTGTTTGTTTCTTCTTAGAGGCTTTTCCCAGAAAAAAACTGGTTGTGTTGCCGGCTTCTTCTTCTTCTTCAAGCCTATTTTGCATTTTCTGTTTTTACACTATTTGAAACGTTTCCAGATTTTGATTCAAATTTGCTTGACAATTCTATGGAAACACTGCTTATGAGCTTTCTGAGTGATAATATTTCATTTGACTGTCTTGGTCGACATACTTTAAAGTCAAAGTTCAGAACTGAAAATTAAACTGTACACTGAAACACACTCCAACGACAAGCCCAAATGTACTTAGAAAACAAAGATATGCTAACTTTGTTCAAAACAACAACAACAACAAAGCAAATACATGGTGTCCTCAACATGTTTCAGGCAGTTACGATAGTTGAGTTATTTCACAAAAGCAGAGAATGAGAAACCAAAGATGCTGTTTCAATGTCAGATGCATTTGAATAAATGTCACTGAGTCAAAAAATGATAAAGAAAAACTAAAATCATGGGTCATATTAGTTTTTTTGTCAGCAAATATGCAGAAAACATGAAATTAGGAATGTCTAATAATAATAATAATAATAATAATAATAACAATAATATTAACTACACGCATACACCAGTGGTTTCAGTTTGATTATTTCATGTCCTTTAGATGAGCTTTGGTATGTCCTGTTTTAATTCAGTTTAAACATCAGTGGTAGAGCTGGACTCCTGCACAAGTCTAATTCACAATTTGTTTTTAAAATGTGCTGGAATATTTCAAAGCTTGCTTCAAATTTGCTTGACAGCTTTTAACACAATAACATGGAAACAGGGCTGATGTTCTGGTGACAAATATTAATAAGTGCATCTTTAAAGCATCTGTGTCTCAGGTGTATGATCAGAAATCCCTAGTAGAGACAGGATCCAGTTTTATAGAAACTGACAGAGAGATTTAATTTATGAACAGACTAAAACACCATATGAGCAACGAAGACAGACTGTTGACTGCTTCATAAAGTGGATCTGTGTTGGGTCTTCAGGTCACACTGAATTCCTATCCTGTAAATATGAACCACAGACTAAAGACAAAACATTTTGTGCTTAATTTATCTTTATCATGCACATGGGGGGCAGACAGAGACCGAACTACGGAGCAGTTCCATTTAAAAGCCATAAAAGCTGCTCCAGCCGCATTCCTCAGTGATTACAGGTGAATCCGGGATCAGCATGCTGCTACTGGAACCCTGACTGGCTGCTGGGCCTCTGCCAGTCCCGTGGGCTACGAAAAGAGCTCTGAGTGTAACTTCCATCAGCAGACAGGACAAGAAGAACGGAACAAGAACAAGAAGAAGAAGAAGAAGGCTGCAGTGGGGTCACGATGAAGCTGCTCTCCTACTTCGCCCTGCTCGCCTCTGCGGTGCACGGAGGCCCGCTGAGGAAGCGCCAGACGTGCCCGCAGGTGTGCGTCGCCTCCCAGTGTCCCGCTCCGCCGCGCACCTGCTACTACGGCCTGGTGCAGGACTCCTGCGGCTGCTGCGCGGTGTGCGCGGCCGGGGAGGGCGAGGTGTGCGGCGGCCGCCTGTCCTGCGGGGACGGCCTAAGGTGCGACTCGGTCCCGGGGAAGGCCGGGATGCTGCAAAGCCTCTGCGTGTGCGCCTCCTCCGGGCCGGTGTGCGGCAGCGACGGCAGGACGTACCCGAGCATCTGCCGCCTCAGAGCCGAGAACAAGAGAGCCGAGCTGGGAGAGACTCCCCCGGTCATCCTGATCCAGAGGGGCCGGTGCGACTCTGGTGAGCTGTGGATCAACTTTGTGTCTCACTTTGTCTTTTAATCTTTATCTCCATCTCTGTCTGACTTTCTTTCATTCATTTATTGGAAAAACCATCACCTGCCCATGTGTTGACATCAGCATTAAAACAAGGATTTATGTCATTCCATTAATCTTATTACCTCTGCAAAAATAAAAACAAGAATAGCCTCACAATAATAAAGTTATTATAGTGAAACCTCACAGGGCTTTACAAAAGTGTGAACAACTAAATACTCAACGTGAATACAAATAAAACATGAAGTAGTGAAGAGGAGAGAAAAGTAAGTTTTCAAACTTAAAAGCGTTTCATTGCTGCAGGTGATAGTAATGTTTCAGCCATGTGAGAGGAAGCAGGAGCGCATGTCCTTACATGTGATTCAGTTCCAGAAGTAGCCTCTGATCAGGGGAGTATTCTGCAGCTGCAAGGGGATAGGTCATGGAGAGATGAATAAATTATTGGGAAAAAACAACAAATGGCACAGTTACTACTACAGCTAGGGGTGATGCTGATCTTCAGTCCATTTATTGTCACAATAACCTTTAAACTGTGCTGGTGTTGACAGGTACACTGTAAGAACTGCTGTTATTCAGCATAACTATTCCAAGTTGTGAGGCCTTAGAAACTTAAACAATCAACTTTTAAAATTAAAATTGCAATTGTGCAACTTAAGCTGGTTCCTTGTTATTAGAGTTTAATTGAACTGTTAAGATGGGGAAATGTAATATTGTTACTCATCCAGCTCATAAACCATAGTTCCTGATAATTGCCAAGTGAATTTGCAGCAAACTTTTAAAATGTCACAACAAAACGGACAGAAGAAAATGTGGATTAAACGTGTTTCTGTGAACTACTTTGGAGCACATAAACTGGGCTGTGTCGTGGTCAGATGGTGGAGGTAAAGGCTGCATGTCCTGAAGGTTTCAGGAACGGTTTTCACTCTGGAAAGTTGTAATTATTCTTTCATGTCAGCTGGTGTTGGTCGTGTTTTATGATGATCTGGAGGCAGAGGAAGAAGCAGGAACAGCTCATCAGTCAGTGAGTTAAATGTTCGTTGTCAGAACTTATTTGAAAAACTGTTTCTAAAGCAATATTTCAAAATGAAATAATAAATAAAAAAATACATTATGGAAACATGGCTGGTAATAATTATTCTATCTTTAAACCAGTGATTTACAGCATACTCAGAAATTTCAGTCAAGTAGAGTTCTTTAGTTGTGGAATGCGTTCACTCAGCCTTTACTCCTTTACCTCCTTTGTATAGTGAAATGTTTTTGTAACCTTTATTTCATACTTCCCTGCGAGTAAAATACCATTCAATTCAATAATAGAATTACAAGAATTAGATTTGAGAAAGTGATAAACTTTAAGCATCTAAAATCTTGCGTCCAGTTCACAAACTAGCTAATTTGCCTCCGAAAATTCAGAGTTAAGTTTAAAAGTTCTCAGTCATTCTTATGCTGCAGGGACACATTTCAGTGGATCACTGCTCTGGGACAAGAAATACTCCTAAAAAAAACAAAAAAAACAAACAAAACACATGCTGATTTTACACTTTCCTTTTTTCTTCTTCTTCTTCACGGTTAAGATATTGTAATATTGGGGTATTAACATTCTCGTCTACTTCTCTGCAAGGACACAAGGCTTATTTCCTCTTGCCTTAAACAGAGGATCTGACTGGCAGTGACTGGGTGTAAACACCTCATATTCCTCTACGCATATTCGTCTACATCAGTGCAGTATTCATAACTGGCTCGTGTAACCTTGTGGGACCGAAGTACCTACATTTTTGTAACAAGATGCTAAAAGCTCGCAGGTAAATGAAAAGAGGTTTGCCATCTTGCTTGTTTTTGCAAAAGTAGCATCCTGGTTTCATGGCTCTAGAATAAAACCGCCTCAAGAGCCAGACTAGTGGAAAATGAGTAATAGTGATGTCCTCGGGGTTATTTCAGCTGGAATTGAGAGACAACAGAGTTTTTTTGACCAAAAAAAAAAGAAAAAATCCTGCATTGAAACTGGAGTGTGAAGTCTGAAATAAATTTTAGCAGGCATGTGGGTTTCAATGAAAGGTGACATTGATTTGCATTAGAGTAAGTTTTGTTTTTGGAATTTCCTCCATGCTGAAGGGTAAAACTCAGAAAATCTCAACATCTGCTGCTTCAGTATTGCTTGTTCTTGTTTAAAATCCCTTTTACGTGCCCGGCAGTGTTATAGGAGGGCTGTTCTGTTGAAACTCCTTTGTCATTTAAACATTCCCTGAACAAATAAGGGTTCGAATTTTTCATTTTCTGTATCTTTGCTGTGTTATAACTCATCATCACCAGTGCTCTTTAATTTCACTTGAAAAAGCTATAAGCCATTCTACAGACAGTATATGACCTAAAATGATGTATACTTATGGAAAAGGTGTCCTCTTTGAATATACTGATAGTGTGCCTCCTGTGTTCTGCATATTCATGCTCAGAAGAGCAACAAGCCAAAATGCAGTCACAAATTCACCACTGATAGTGTTTAATTCTCCTCAGGGAATCCCAGTATCACACTGCTGTGCAAATATATCCTCTTCATTTTCCCATCCTGTCCTATCCATTTTCATAATGTGCAGTTTCTTATCACAGGCGTCCACAGAGGTGGAAGAATACATCATGCATTAAACCTCCTACTGTCCGCCTGATAGAAAAATCTCTGATAGGGAGGATTAAATGCTGCCTTCCATTGTTCACATACGAGTGCCATTGATATGTGAGCGCCTTTGAGGCTGACCATGATACCAGGACAGTGTAACTCAGCATCGGTTCTGAAACAGGGTTGCCACTGAGAAATGTAACGTATTCCCAGCTAATTAGACTGACACTGTTTCGCAACATGACAGTCTTGTGTCTGCTATCTGTCAGAAACAATTTATGTCACGTAACAAGTGGAGATGTAGAGAAATTGAGCCAGTACAGGTTGTACCCAACAGTGAAACACCAACAGAAAACAACATGGCAAACAGAAGATGCGTAGCAACATGAGAGCTGACAAAGTGGAGAGTACTGAGGACTGGTGTATATTAGTCTGACAAATGTATGTTGGCCTTATCTCTAATCATCTTGAATCTTTTCATTATTCTGCAACAAACCAGTAAGGCTTTATGTTGTGTGTACGCTGTCAGCTATTGTTAAAACTTAAAATCTGCATTTAAAAAAAGTTTCAGCATTGAGCCAAACTAAATTCCATGATTTGACGGTGAATATTGTTCACATGCCTTCATTCTCCTCCGACTACTTTTACCGGGGCTCATTCCTCTGTACTGTACTGTTCTGCTGTGCCCCAAAAAAATCCTGTGTTTTAATTTTACCAAGATGCAGTGGATTAATGTAGAGTTTCTGTGATGGGAAAATAATTTTTTTTTCTGATGCACAATGTCATAGCAATGCTGTTTAACTCAAAATACAAGCTGAAGTGCAGGTACACACTATGCGGCTGCTGTGCACCGCAGTGTGCATGTTGTTGTTGTAAGATTGTGGCTTGCGTGCTGCAGTTTATGTATTGGTGGTGGAGATTATAGGTACTTTCCCACTCTTGGATTGTTTTAGATCACACACACACACACACACACACACAAATTTGCGTGTTATTTATGTGGTGTGCAAAAGTTTAATGACTTGAGTCAGTTTTTGTTATTATTTGCATATGCAATCTAAAACATGCCTAGAAACATATTGAACATGTATTTTCAACATGGAATAAATACTTTCATTAAGATTATTATCTTTACATGTTTACCTTTAGCAGTAGTTGTTTGAGTCTCTGCAGCAGTAGTATGGCAGTGGCAGCAAAAGATGGCTCATTAGAGGAAGTTCATATCGAGCACATTAAATACAGGCAGAAGTTATTCAAGAAAAGGAAAAGAAAAAAGGTGATTTGAGTACATAGAGGCCTGTAGACCAGTTTGCATTGTGTTGAATAATTCCCTGGTAGCTGCCGAGACTAAGACGAGGACATACTTGGTTGAAATTTAGATACATCCAATTTTACAAAGAGGTTATGTGCTGTGCTATTTCTTGATTGGGATGAGCAACTTCATTGAGTCTCTGCTGGTTAATCAGGAAGTAGTGCCGTACATAACCATTTGTAAAATTGCATTTATGAAGTGTTGTGCTGTAAGGCTTAGAAAATCTGCTATGTCATGTTAAGTAGTTAGCTTTAAAGGGGCTGGTAGATTTTAATACTACAGGACAGCACTAGGCTGCAGTTTCCCCTCATTTCCAGTCTTTATGCTAAGCTAAGCTAACAGCCTTTGTATTTGCTGTCAGCAGCTCAGCAGCCTTGTCAACAGCAATACTTGTTCTGCAGGTACCTGGAGGATATCTCCTCTTAAAATGTCTTTCTCCCTTGTAGATGTTATCTGAAAGTCTTTTCTAGGAAGACAGCCCAGTATCCCAAGGATTACTTTAATATTAGATGACTCTGCACTTTGCAGTTCACATCGAGTTCATATGTTCAGTGCAGTTAGTCTGTGCCTTTTAAGTAATAACAAAAGTGATAGTGGGCTGGCTGGGTCTTCCTGTTTGTTTCAGCTGCATATCTGTAGGTACATGGGTGTAGTGGGTGGTGGTAAGACAGCCAGGCTTAAACTCTCTTAAAACGTGTGAAAACAAACTTTCTACTTTCTAATTGCAGCAACTATCTGTACTACATCTTATAAATAAAGCCTGTCCTGTTGCACATTCATGTAACTTATTTCAAATGCTAGCTGACACACTCATGTTAATCGCAGTGATAATGTCCTGCAGCAAACCCCCAGAATGTAAATCCTTATGGACTAACAGCTGCCACCATATGGAGCTGGCACAGTGTTGTATAAAAATTAAATAATTGTTGCATAATTTATGTGTGTGTATTTTAGCATGCTGAATTGTGTCTGTTCTTTCATTTTTCAGCAGGGTATCATATTTAAAAACTGGCGTAACCTTAAGCAACCACTTTTCTCACTAAAC